TCGGGCGGGTCCCTCCCCCCCCCCGGCAGCCCTTCAGCGAAGCTTTCGGAGCAGCTTGTTAGCCAGGGTGGGGGTTGAGGAGGATTTCGCTTATTTTTGTGCATGTCAGGTCAGGGACTGAAGGGGCAGCTCCCCCGAGAAACTCCCTGGGACGGCGGCGAGTCTAGAGAAATGGGAACAGTAAATATTTACTTCCCGAGCAAAAAAAAACCCCACAAAACCCACACCAAACCCCCACGATTCTGACCCAGGATCACTCTTACACTGAGTGATGTCAAGGGGACACAGAGACTCAGGGCTCTGACACTGGGGCAAGGAGTTCTCAGGATGGCAGCCAGCAAGGCAGAGAGAGAACTTCTCAGCAAACTTTTAAATTTATATTGAACTTGGTTCTTGGTATGAAACAACCCTGTCAGCAGCTTGGGTCAAGTGCCCAGGTCTCCCTCCTCCTCATCTGCATGCCTGGAGAGCTCAAAAATACTAAGGCCTTGAGACGAAGTAAATATATGAAGTAAATATATGAAGTATATGAAGTAAATTTCGCACATTCAGCCACTAAACTCTTCAAAAAGTGCAGTTTTCCCGAGCGTTAGAAGAGCAGTTAGTCCCGTGTCGCTCACAGCAGGACACCGGCTGAAGGCAGGCCGCATCCAGCACCACTCCCGGGTTGGGGCCGCCTGGGGCCCAGCACCCCTTTAGGCTGTTTTTGACCCCTGCATGTCAGGTCAGGGACTGAAGGGGCAGCTCCCCCGAGAAACTCCCTGGGACGGCGGCGAGTCTAGAGAAATGGGAACAGTAAATATTTACTTCCCGAGCAAAAAAAAACCCCACAAAACCCACACCAAAACCCCACGATTCTGACCCAGGATCACTCTTACACTGAGTGATGTCAAGGGGACACAGAGAAGGAACCACCAGAGGATTCTGTCTCTCTCATTACTCTTCTTACCCCAACTGCAAGCACTTTAAACAAAATAAACTCCTATGAGGTCATAAAGTTGCCTTTTTCAAGAAGCTGAAATGAGATTTGCACAGCTGTTGTAAGAAGCATATCGTGAGTTTGATTATCAGTAGTTTTATTGTCTGTGATAATACGCGGAATAGTTTTGCCTTGAAGATCAAAGTGAATTAGCTCAATCCTGGCAGGTGTGTGTTTACCCAGACAGACACACAGAGGTATTTGCAGGTATCTCCTCTCTGTTACTCTGTGTTTCAAATCTAAAAATAAGGTGCTCAGCCCTGGAACACCCCGAGAATTCAGAGTACCATCAACAGGCATCACTGTCACTTACGAGTCTGCAGCCTGACTTCTTTTACAGGGCCTTATTTGCTTCAAATGAGATTAATGTGATAGCACATTCAGAGCAGGATGGGTGACTTGCTGTGCCAGATCTCATCCACGTCTATGAACAGCAGTTTTGATTTTATTTATTTGCAGATCACTTACTGTCACCTGAATTCTGAACGCAGGGCATCGTTGCTCTGTGTTCTTTTGAAAATCACATCATTAGTTCCAGAGATGTTGGCAAGCTGTATGCATCGTTATACTAAAAGGATTATTTTTGTGTGTGTTACACGGCAGAATGATCAGGTTCTGTCAAACAAATTGAATTATCTCGTCATACTTTCAATAAATCACTGTATCATTTGGACTCTCCTAGAAATTGGAATCTCCAGAGAAGAGGCGCTGGAAGCGTTACAGGTTGTGAGACAGGAATGTCACGGGGATGCAGCAAAGGCTGCTGGGGCCACCAGAAAGTGCACAGCGCTGGAACTTCTGGAAGAGGAGCAAGCCCAGGGCTTCATCATCACCTTTTGTTCAGCACTAGACAATATTCTGGGAGGTGGTGTGCAGCTAACAAAAATCACCGAGATCTGTGGAGCGCCCGGAGTTGGGAAAACACAGCTGTGGTATTTTATTTTTAGATTACTTTTCTGCAACGGAGAATCACTTTTCTTTGTTTAGTTTAACGTGAAGAAAGTTCATTTTTCTTGTTGTCATGACCGCAATCTCAGGTTCTTACACAGCATTATAAATATAATGGCTGTACTGCTTCCTGTTCCGTGTATTCCTCAGCAGAAATGTCACTTTACGAGTGAGTTGGGAGGGGAGAGCTTTGTGATGTAAATATTTCTCTTTTTTTTTCCCCGTTTCCCGTGGCAGTATGCAGTTGGCAGTCGACGTGCAGATCCCAGAATGCTTTGGGGGAGTAGCTGGAGAAGCTGTGTTCATTGACACCGAAGGGAGTTTCATGGTAGACAGAGTAGCGGATATTGCGGCCGCCTGTGTGCAGCATTGCCAGCTTATTGCTGAAGCTCATCAAGAAGAAGGTGTGTTGCTAACTCTTTCTGCCTCACAGGCCAGGATCTAGGATCTGCATGATCTGAGTGTCTCATAGGCTGCAGTTTTACAGCATGAGGGTTTCAGCAGCAGCACTGGCTTAAGGAGTTCGTGCTGCCAGCTTTTTGTTTCCACCCTAATGTGTCATACCCTGAACAGCATTGGTGTGTGGAGCCATGCTGCAGGCTGAACTGGTCTACTTCAAGAATAATTCTTGAAGAGAGCTGCTGGGGAGAGAGGAGAGAAATGGCAGAATTTCTTAAGACAATGTTGCTGCTGAAGCCCCAAATTGTAAAACTGTAGCCGGAATTCAGCTCCTTCATAAGGTCAATATAGCCAGGTCACATTTAATGTAGAGTTTTTTTTCTTTAAGTCATCAGGATACTCACATAACTTCTATGTTAGAGTATTTTATCCAGCAAGCCAGGTCACATTTAATGTAGAGTTTTTTTCTTTAAGTCATCAGGATACTGACATAACTTCTATGTTAGAATATTTTATCCAGGCAACTTCTGTTTGAACAGAGGTAAAATGACACCATAGTAAATGAGCTACTGCCTGTACATTAAACAATGGATGATTAATAGTCACTGTTGTCCTCTGGTGGTGTTCTGGCTTGAAAGTGATTTACTGGAAAAGTTATTTTTTCCGAAATAAATGTTTCATTTTTGGAGCGCTCCCGTGGAGGCTCCGGTGTATCTCTGTGCAAATGCTGAGATAGCATCTGCTCACCTCCTCCTTGACTTTCAAGCCAGATGGAAGGTATGTTTCCCACACTCTTTACCTTGACTGTTTCTGTTTCTGGGGGTTTTGCTGTTGCTATATGTGGATGGCATAGTTTGTTAGAATGATGAAAGTAGCAATATGCTAGCACAGACTTCTGACTCATTTACTCATCTATTTATTTGTTCTCAGATCATGTAAAAGCTTTGGAGACATTCTCGCTTGAAAGTATCCTTTCTCATATATATTACTTCCGTTGCCGTGACTACGTAGAGCTTCTTGCACAGGTCTACCTCCTCCCAGACTTTCTTTTGGAGCATTCAAAGGTAAGGGTTATTGCAAGACTTACCAGGAGATGTGACTCATCTTCACAGTAAAGGTTTTCAGGGATG